ACATAACAGTCCCTATTCTGCCTCACCAGATATTTGAGAGAAACAGAAAATAAAAGTGAATACAATGTGAAAGTACTTGGTAAATTCCAAATATATTGCTGGCAGAAGGTCACTGTCTTCAGAGAACTTTGTGAGCCCTCTAGGGAGCCAGGGGCCTTTCTCTGCCTGCAGGGTGTAGTGAGGTGAGCTCAGATACTTCCTCCAGAGCCTCTTGTCACAGCAGTCTGAGCTTACCTATTTTGTCCTTCCCTACCCTCACCTTGCTCACCAGTGATTGATGGCCTGGATTTGCTGAAGAAGGAACACCCAGGGGCCCGGGATGGGATTCGGTACCTGGAGGCAGAGTTTAAAAAAGGAAACAGGTGAGTGCAGGCCTGGCCGGACCTGTGCTGAGCCCTGGGTCCATCTTTGGACAACACATGCTTGTAAGCCCCTTGCTCCCTATGGGTAAGACACATACATACCTGTCTTGCTCACAGTTTGCTCACTGCCTGGGGAGTGATACCAGAGATCATTAGAAGTCAAGGTCGTAGGTGCTGAAATGACAGGTGACCACAGGAGCCAGGAGCCCTGTGGGTAGCACTGAGCTGCTGTCCTTCCTCTGGGGCAAGCCTGTGATCAGCACCCACTGGGGAGAAGGGAGCAGACTTCCCTCCCCCAACATTAGACTGTGAACTCCTTTACAGGAGGAGTTTCTCCTGCTTTCAGGTGGGACAGGTGATCAGGTTTCTCAGAGTGTCAGGGCCTTCATCTGGGCTGCCCATCTCCCCACTGAGCTGAGGCAGTGGTGACTGAAGCCAGCCAGGGATGAGCAGATGGCAGCATGTGCAGGTGCTCAGCCCGGTGCAGGCCTGCCCTTCTGGCCTTGGGGGCCGGAGGCGGACTAGGCAGAGGGTGTAGGGAATAGAGAAAGCTTCCCTCTCCCTGCTAGCTGGCCCACCCTCTCCTCTACATCTGCTCTGCCTGGCCAGGAAGCTGTACAAGGCCTGATTGTTTGGACCTTGTCTCCAGAAGCCCTGACTTGAAAAGCATCTGCTAATTCTCCCCTCTCAGCTCCTCCCCTGGGAGGAACCAAAGAACTGATGTTATCGGGAGGAAAAGCGAGCTGCTTCGCCCAGCAGCCAGGAAGCCACTTGGAAATGGTTCTAAACAGAGCTGTGGTGGGAGACGTGTTCCCTGCCCCGCCTGCAAAACTAGGCCCGCAGAGCCACAACGGCCTGCTTTGTGTAAGGCACCCTGCCTGTCCTCTGCTGCTGACTTCCACTTGCACATCTCCTTTGCAGGTACATTCGCTGCCAGAAAGAGGTGGGAAAGAGCTTTGAGCGGCATAAGCTGAAGAGGCAGGATTCAAATGCCTGGTAACATTTCAGCCCTCACCCCCAGAACCTCAGTCAGGCCACCTGCCTTGCTCCTCCACAGGCATTCCCAGGGAGAACGGGCAGGGCTGGAGAATTTTGAGGCTGCACATGTAGCCTGCCAGGGCCCTCCTGCAGGCCTCACCTTTCGAGAGTACGAAGTTGCCCCAGCACCTGAGCTTTGTAGATGGGCAGCCTCTTCGGGCCTTGCGATGCTCAGGCTGGTATTTTCCTTCAGTGTACCTTTGCCTCCTCCCCATAGTGTCTCCTCCAGGGCCAGCTTCCAGGGCCCACTGCTGCTTGCTGCCCTCCCAGTCCCCAGCTGCCCCTGTCCCCTGGTGGGCTGTGCTAATGCTGGGTCGTGACCCATCTTCCCCTCCGCCCCCCCATCCCCAGGACTCTCTATAAGATCCTGGACAGCTGCAAACAGCTGACTGTGGCCCAGGGGACAGGTGAGGAGGACCCAAGCGGCATGGTGACCATCATCACAGGCCTTCCACTGGACAACCCCAGCGTGCTTTCAGGCCCCATGCAGGTGGGTCATGGGTGGGGTGGGGGGATGGTGTGGAATAGGGACGAGGTACCCTATCTACTCAGAGTAGATTGTGTCCCCAGACCCTCCACAAGCTGCCTTTTTCTCTCCCATCACTCCTTCCCCAGCCCCTCAACGACTTGCTCCTCAGTTCAGGAGGTCAGGCCCTCTCCATCTTTCCTCCTCCCCTTCCACAGGCAGCCCTGCAGGCCGCTGCCCACGCCAGCGTGGACATCAAGAATGTTCTGGACTTCTACAAGCAGTGGAAGGAGATTGGTTGAGACTGACCCCCAGGCCCTGCAGTGGGGCTGATTCCAGATCTCTCCTGCCCTCCCTGGCAGCCAGGACCAGCACCTGCAGTCACCCCACCACACGAAGACTCATGCACGCACACAGGAGGGAGGCCTAGCTGCTCAGAGGCTGCAGGGAGGGCCCAGGAGCCAGCTGGGAGGGTGGGGCCCCTTTGTTGCCAAGACGTTAGGAAAGCGAGGAAAGTGCTTAGAGCAGGAGAATCCTGTGGGCCCCTGGCCAGTCTTCTTGCCTCAACTCCCCTGCTGTCCCCAGGGGCAGGTGGCAGGCATGGGTACCTGCATTTCACTGGAGTGGGTTCTTGGATCTCTGAGGGGAAGGTACAGCAGAAGAGGGCCCTCCTTCCTCACCCAAGATACAGGGTGGTTGGGGCCAGAAGTTTGAACCCTCCAGGTCTTGGGGAAAGAGCTGGGTAATACCTGTTGTCTGAGTGGTTCTCTGCAGACCCTTCCCCTCCTCAAGGACCACCCATACTCCTTTCAGCCCCCTTTATGGGGGCCGGGCAGCTCTGGAGCCAGCCACGGGCTCTTACAGAAGCGAGGCCTGGAGTGGCCTGCACCGAGTAGCAGGGTCAGGGTTCGTGTGCTCCTCCTGCCACAGGGGCCGCACATCCCATTGCCCCACTTCTGCTTTCTGTCTTCCTCTGTCTAGCTTCCCGGGCAGGGAGCAGGCTCCACCTAGGGCTGCAGGCAGTCTGGCCTGTGCCAGCATGGGCTCCTGTGCTTACCAGTCCCACAGGCGCTGTGCTTTGTTCTCTTGGCTGCTGTGCTAGGACAGAATGGGATGACAGAGAAGAAAGGGGGTGCAGTCTGAGGCCACCACCCCACTTCCTATCTAAGGGAGGGCTGAAGACAAGGGACTGGCATTCAGTGGGCAGCAGAAAGAAGAGGCCGCTTGAAACTGCTCAGTCAGGGGTCCCCTGTCCCCCCTTTTGCCCTCCCCAGGACTAAAGACTTGGAGGGGCTGGGTGTGGGGCTGACTTTGGGAGTGTCGAGGTGAATATGTGGGAGCAGAGATCATGAATAGCTCAGGGCAGTGAATGGCGCAGGAAGAGCAGGGTCGTGTGTGGGAGGCTGTGGCCAGGATTGCCTCAGCTCCTCCCCCTCAGGCTGGGAGGACAGCACAGGCTGGCGGCTGGGGTTGGAGGGTCTCAGCTCTGCTGCCCCCAGCCCAGTACTAGCCTGCCTTCCCAAGCTGTGGCTTGGAGGATAGCCGGCTTCCTGCCTCTTTCCTCTAAAACAGCAAGTCTGGGAAATCCTGGGGTGAGTGGTGTCACCCCCACCCCAGTTCCTGGCAGAGACTGAGACTAAAGCATCACTTAATAAACCCCCAAGCCCAGTCCCTGTCTCCTGGTGCCTCTCTGTATGGAAGTTTTACTGGGAGGCGGGGCACTGAGGAGGGCATCCTGAAGTGCACTTTGGAAAGACTTCTTGGAAGCGGGTGGAAGAGAACAAGAAGCAGGCGACTTGAGGGAGAGCCCTGGAGGGGGTTTTATGGTAGACACTGTCAGTTCCTTGACCCCGTCAACTAAGGCTTGCCTGTGCAAGGGCGATAGGGGGAAATCTGCCAGCAAATACCGCTGCCTGCAGTTGGTTTGCTGTCACCAGAAGGAGTGATACCCAATACTTGATCCCCTGTCCCCCCAGTGTCTTCCTCAAGGGGCTGGGGAGGTAAGCCTTGAAACCAGCCTGAGTCCTCAAGTGCCTGTCCTGCAAGGATTGGCACCTCAAATTGTATTCAGGGTGGGGGTGGGGAGGTGATAAGCTTGGCAAATCCCCTGTGATAGAAGCAACATTTACCAAAGGCAGCCTTACCCAGCACCAGATGCTAAGAGGCAGCAAAGCATGGTGAGAGACGGCTTCTGAAATCTGGTCAGAATTCGGGGACTTGGGTTCCACTGCCAGCCTAAGGCAGAGCTGTCCTCAGCTGCTGGGAGAACCTAGAACAGGGGAACACCTCTCTGGGTGGACTCTACAGCACCATGGCCACGTCCTGGCTTGGGCCCCTAGCCTGTTCTAGCCGGCCTGAGCACAGGGAGTTTAGGTCGTGCTGGAGGAGCTGGCTGTGTGCAGGCGACAGAGTGAGCTGCCTGCTAATGGGGCTGGGCCACCCTGTGCTGCTCCCTGGAGGCTGGACAAGGCTGGGATTGTTCCCTGGCCCCCTTTGTCTCCCCACTCCCCGCCCAGGCTTGGCCCGCCTGCCCGGCCACTCTCCTACATCAGCCTGGCTGGCAGCAGCCTTGGACTCCGCCCGTGGAGCCCTGGGCCTGCTGACCCATCAGCTTAGGAGCACCCACCAAGCTCTGGGTAAGGAAGCTCACCTGGGGCTCTGATACCACTTCTCCTGGGGAAATAGAGGTAAAGCACCTTACTCCAGCTGTCCCTCCCCCATTTCCATAGCAACTGCACACGCCCCACTCCGGAGCTCTCCAAACCCTACTGCTAAGGGAAGGCACCGTGAGGGAAGCTAGACCCCAGGGAATTTCTCACTCCTTCCCCAGATAGATGGGCAGCACTCTGGGTCGGGGAGACATCCCCCATCCCACTTGTGAGAGCAGACAAGGGATACCCTGGGAGGCCTTCATCCATCTTTGTTCTGCTGGGGTGCAGGGACTAGGGCCAAGTTTGCCTTGTGCCCAGTAGGGTCCCCAGCACCCGTCTCAGGGGCAGAGGCTGGGGGAGTGACTGCTGGTGTAAGCCCCAGAGTGCATGCGACACAAACGGATGCGGATGCGGATGCGCAAAGCTGGTGGCAGGAAGAGGAGGGGCTAGGCTATAGAGTTGCTGCAAAGTTTTGGCTTGGGGGAGTGTCCTATTCCTCCTCCTGGGGCAGCTCCGCCTGCCCAGCTGGCCCAGCCCCTCCACTTGTGCCAAGGAATGTGCCAGGAGAGGCGGGTGGAGCAGCAGAGCCACGGCCGCCCGGAGGCAGCGCACAGGTCTGGGGCTCAGGGATAGGGGGCTTAGAAGGGGCAGGGACCCCAAAACACTGCTGAGGCCCAAGTGTAGTCCTCATGAGAAAAGCCAGGCATCTCCTAACTCCTTGTCCCACCTGACGGCATCTGCTTCTCCAGGGATTCTTTCTGAGTGCCAAGCTTAGTATCTGTGCTCGGCCCGGCGCTGTGGGCTGAAGTGCATTCTGGTGGGGCGGGGTGTATTACTCGGGCTGTCTCTGTGCTGGCCTCAAGTCAGGATTCTTCCCTAGATAAAAACTGGGGCCTGAGGGGCTGGATCACTGTTTGAGGCAGCCTCCTAGCTGGGAGGACACACCACTCCATGCTGGGCTGAGGCTGCCTAGCCCCTCCCTCAGTGTGGGGACTGAATACCCCAAGGAGGACACGGGCAGGGGATGGAGTTAAGAGGTGTGATGGCTGGGGAAGCTGGACCAGCCTCCCCGGGCTAGAAGGAAGCATTTCCAGGAGGGGAGGGTGCCGGGTGCCTCCCACACACGCAGCCCATCCTGGGGCTGAACCCAGGTGAAAGGGCCTGTGGATGGGGGCAAATATCTGATCCCCTACCCCAACTCTGTCTCCAGGTCAACGTGGAGGTGCCAGGCCACCATGCTCAGTCTCAAGCTGCCCCAACTTCTTCGAGTCCACCAGGTCCCCAGGGTGAGGGGCTCCACCCACTGACCCACCAACCCCCACTCCTAAGAGGACTGACTAGGGGCAGAGAGTCTCTTCACTTTTATCTACGGAGGCAGCCCCTCCTGCAGGCAAACTCTTACCCTTCCATTCCAGTGTGAGACTCTCCTCTGTTCTCTGAGGAACAAGCTGTGGCCCTCCCTCCTGAGTCCCCTTCCCCAGAGCGCCCTGTCGGTGTGCTGCACGCCGCCCCACCCGACCCCACCCCACCCCTCCCCGCCCCAATGGGCCTCTTCGGTTTCCCATCTGATCTGTGGGCACTGGAACCTGTGGTAAGATCGGATCAGATTTAGTTTGGCTTGGGGGCCAGGTTGATCTCTAGCCCATCCTCTTTGACCCTGCTTCCAGAGATCTCAAACGGAGGGAGAGGGTCCGGGCACAGTGACTCCTCTCCTTTCCCACCACTACTCCAGGTGTTCTGGGAAGATGGCATCATGTCTGGCTACCGCCGCCCCACCAGCTCGGCTTTGGACTGTGTCCTCAGCTCCTTCCAGATGACCAACGAGACGGTCAACATCTGGACTCACTTCCTGCCCACTTGGTGAGGGGAGGCTCTGCCCCAGTCCGCGACCTTCAGCTCAAAGGGGGTACCCAGGCGGGCAGGGACTGTCCAGGCCCACGGGCTGCAGCGGCAGTCGCGGGGGTCCGCGGCGGCCTGAACACGCGCCCGCCGCAGGTACTTCCTGTGGCGGCTCCTGGCGCTGGCGGGCGGCCCCGGCTTCCGTGCGGAGCCGTACCACTGGCCGCTGCTGGTCTTCCTGCTGCCCGCCTGCCTCTACCCCTTCGCGTCGTGCTGCGCGCACACCTTCAGCTCCATGTCGCCCCGCGCGCGCCACATCTGCTATTTCCTGGACTACGGCGCGCTCAGCCTCTACAGCCTGGGTAAGCTGGGCAGGCGCAGGAGCGCGGGGTCTGGGCGTCCCAGGGCGGGGCGGGGCGAGGGTTGGGACACGGGAGGGAGGGGCGCGCCACTCGGGCCTCAAGCTGCACGCCCCCACCTCACCGCAGGCTGCGCCTTCCCCTACGCCGCCTACTCCATGCCGGCCTCCTGGTTGCACGGCCCCCTGCACCAGTTCTTTGTACCCTCCGCCGCACTCAACTCCTTCCTGTGCACCGGCCTGTCCTGCTACTCCCGGTGGGTTCCCAGGCCCCTCCAGTGGGGACGGGGAAGGCGGAGGCACAGGAGAGGACACACCTCACTGCTCTTGAACAGCATGGGTGACATCAGGACCACGTACTGAGGACTTCCTGTCAGACCCTATATGCTCATACCCATGCTGTCTCCTTAAATCTCAAGCCACCATAAAAGGCAGGTGCCTTTATCCCCACAGACAGACGTGGTCCTTTACACGGCAAGTCATGTACCCTAAGGGTTTTCTTAGCTGTAGGCTGCGCTGATATTCCAACTTGGCCCAAGGACCCCTTGCCTTTATCTGACCCCTACCCTGAGCACACCGATGGTGACCAGCCTTTTCCTCCCACCTCCCAGTTTCCTGGAGCTGGAAAGCCCTGGGCTCAGTAAGGTCCTCCGCACAGCAGCCTTCACCTATCCCTTCCTGTTTGACAACCTGCCTCTCTTCTATCGGGTAAGGTAACCTGAGGCCCCTGCCCAGACTCCTGCTTTCCTGTCCTGCCCCTCAGGGTGCCCACTTCCAGCCCTGCCCCCTCAGTCCCTGCCTCAGCCCAGCCACCTCTCTTCAGGCCCAGCACCCTGCCCAGCTGTGCCCGCCCGCTCTGCATCCTCACCAGACCCCGACACACCCCATATTTCTGCTCCCGAGCCCTCCCCACCAGCCTTGCTTTTCCTCTTCCAGCTCGGGCTGTGCTGGAGCAGGGGCCACAGCTGTGGGCAGGAGGCCCTGAGCACCAGCCATGGCTACCACCTCTTCTGTGCACTGCTCACTGGCTTCCTCTTCGCCTCCCACCTGCCCGAAAGGCTGGCACCAGGACGCTTTGACTACATTGGTGAGAGCAATGCCTGGCCCAGCCCGGGAAAGGGCAGGGGCTGCTGATGGCCTCCCAGAGCACAGAATGAACTGGGTAAATGGGTATCACAGCCCCAGCCTGGAGGCAAATTACAGGAGGGACTTCCCTGTCTTGCTATAACAAGTGAGCATCACTGGAAGAGTCCTCAGGGTCCTCCACCTGCCACTTCTCAGGTAGCAAAACTAGTAGCCTGTGTGCTGGAGGCCGCACGAACAAACGCTCATTCACTCCTGTCAGCCCCTCTGGGAATTTATAGGGGAGGGGCAGGCCCAGCGGACAGGGTGACTTGCCCTGGGAAAGGTGTGGCTCTGACCTGCTCATCATCTCCACAGGCCACAGCCACCAGCTATTCCACATCTGTGCAGTGCTGGGCACCCACTTCCAGCTGGAAGCAGTGCTGGCCTGATATGGGATCTCGCAGAGCCTGGCTGGCCACACAGGAAGCCGCCCTGGGCCTGGCGGGCACAGTGGCCATACTGGTCTTGGTGGTAGCTGGAAACGTAGTCATCATTGCTGTGTTCACAGCCTCCCTGCTTCGGGCCCCTAGTACATGCCCTCTGTTGCAGGGTGGCCCACTGGAGGGTGGTACCCAGGCCAAACAACAGTGAGGCCCTGGAGGGGGCAGAGGCCAGGCCCCAGTGCTGGGGAGGAGCCCAGACCCAGGCCTCATCAGGTAGGGACGCATCTCAGCCTGGAACCAACGGTGGCTGAGGAGAGAGGGCAGAGGACAGAAGGCAGAGGAGAGGAGTGGTGTCTGGGGGGACTGGCAGCGTGTGAGGGACCATGAGGGGCTCTTGATGGGACTGAGGGAAGTGCTGAGGGTCTGAGAGGGAGGCGGGTGCATGTCCAGGCTGAAGATGCCCCCCCTACAATGTCAGAGGTTGGGGCGGGGAGTGTTGGGGCTCTTTTGTCTGGCTCCGTTTCTGGTGCTCCTGGACATCTCTGCTCAGCACAGGGAAGAACTAACACGACTAACCTGGGGCTACCCTGAATGCTTCTTGCTAACCAGGCGGGGAGGGGGACACACTTGGCCCTCATCCCCACAAGCCAGGTCATGCCAGTTTGCCAGCAGCTATTTACCTATGGAGATGAGTCTGTCCCGGACACAACTATGTACTCGCGGTGACCAGGCTTTTGGGGGTGGGCCTATCTGGGTGCATCATGGATGTTCAGTGGACTGAGGTGTGGGGAGGAGGGTGCTGGGCTAGAGGGAGCTCTCTAGTTAGACTTCCTAGGCATCCTAGGAGGCCACCTTCAATGACTTCTGGAACAAGGCAGGTACAAATAAAAAAAATAAAAAACTTTGGAAAGCACTTTCTAGAACTGAAGAAGGTAAAACCTCCTCACCCCGGTCCTCCTGACACCTCCCTCCCACACTCCATCAACTGGACAGATTCACAGGCCCTCGGATTCCTCTTCTGGAGTTTATTTGGGAGCAGCTGGGATGATGGGGACCCCACATCCCCAGGGCCGGGTGGTCAGGGCAAGGGGAAGGGGAAGAAGGGGGGCCTGGAGAGGAGCAGAGCTGGGGTCACCGGCCGGGACAGCAGGGCGACACCCTAGACCGGGCCGTAGAAGCGCCGATAGGCCTCCTGGAAGCCGATGTGGTCAGCCAGCTCATCACAGTCCGGGTTGAGCTCACACACCTCCCTCCTGGGCTCCAGGGGATCCGGGTAAGGGGCTGGGACTCTGAGACACCCGACACGGTGGCATCAGCCCCCATGCAAAATGCCCATCCCTCCTCTCACCGTACATGGGGCTCCAGGGTCCCGCCAGGGCAGGCTGCCTGTACCTCCACCACGGCCCAGAGGCCACCCCCTGCTGTAGCTCCCGCATGGCCCAGCACCGCCTTTTCTCTCACCCCAGCCACTGATACAGGTAGCGCCTGGGTCTCTTCACCACCTCGCTGCCCTCCTGCTTGGACACAAAAGCTGTGGAGCAAAGGGGCAAGCATCAGGTGGCTCTGGGTTTGGGAGGACAAGGTAGGGAGCAGGGTGGCTTTCCTGACAGCCTGGCAGGAGTCGGGGAATGAGACTGAGGGACCAGGGTGAGAGGGGAGGGTCCAGGAGCCCTGCTGGGCCCATCCTCATACCTGCACCTTTGCTGGACTCTGCTCCGCTGGGCTTCGCACCTGCAAAGGAAGGGAGCATGGTTCCTTTGAACCCCGCTCACCCCTAGGGCCCTCATCCTCCCCCTGCGTCTCAGGCAGTGTGTTCCCTCCTCTCCCTCTGCAAGGGCAGAGCTAGGACAAATGGCTTGAGCCTGCAACAGGGACTGCCAGGGAAGGGGTGAGAAGAGGTGGGCCGTGGTATACCCCTCAGCCCCCCACTGCAGTGCAGCCTGAGGGGAGGTGGGGACACTCACCTGCCTGGCCAGCAATGCAAAGTGCAGCCAGGGCCACCACGGGAAGGAGCATGAGGGCTCTCATGGCGTCTCGGCAGCAGCTGCTCAGGGCTCAGCTGGCCTGCCCCCTCCAGCACTGTTTATACCCTCTGGGCCTTGCCCCAGAGATGGGGGGGGGCACGCCTGACCACAGTACGGGTGGGTCTAGGGGGAATCTGCCAGGGCTATTTGGGGGTCATCCGCCCTAGCTCCGTAGGCCAAACCCCAACGGATGTTGTGGTTGGGAGCTGTGGCTGCTGGGCCAGGAGCCCCTAGGAGTAATGGAGGGTGAGCCACAATCAGAGACTGCCCGGCTCTCAACACTGCCTCTGACCCCTTCCCCAGGGGGCAGCCCCAGACCCCCCAACCCTGACTCACTCTTCCTCGGAGACCCCCAGCCTCAGGTTGAGCACTGGCTGAGCTCTAGGGAGAGTCTAGAGACCAAGAGGAGCTCAAAGACCTAAAATAGGTTCAAGCAGAGCTGGGCTCCAGCTGTCTGGCAGTCTGTGATTTCTACCATCGGTCCCGTGGGCAGGAGCCAAACCCAGGGAGGGAATGCCTCGCAGTGCCCTCGTTCACCCCATGAGATGCCAAAGGCAGCCTATTGTGGGCACAGCTCAAGGGCTCCAGACAGGAGAAAGGGTCAGGAAGCACAAAGACAAGAGCCAAAGCCAATGGAGGTAGGTTCGGGCGGGAGATGAGGTCGGCTGGTTCATCTCTGGGACAGGCTAGGTGGCTGTGACTGTCAGGGACACAGGCCACTCACTGAGGTGGGGACCCCTTCCCCATGCCCTTAGCAGGCAGGGCAGCAGGGCCCGTGAGGAGCACAGACATGGAGCGTGCCTCCAACCTCCTGACCACCCCCGCCCCGATTCTCCTCCTGCCCGTGCCGCCTCCACAGTGTTAACCACCCTGGGGAGGGACCTGCCCTCCTGCAGCACTCCTGTAAGTGACAGGAAGGCATGTCCCCTACGGGACAGAACATTCCAGCCTGAAAACCCCTCCACTGCCTCAGGTCAGCCCAAGAGGGAGGAGTGACCTGGCACCTTCCCATGTCTAACCTGTGTCCTCACTCACCTGCCTACCAACCAGGGCGTGAGACCCGCTGCCAACCTGACAAACGGAGCACCTGCCAGGGCAGGCCTGACAGGAACAGGCGGTCTGGATGCTTGAATGCCACAGCTCCACAGTGACAAGGCGAGCAGAGGGAGACGGAGCCGGGAGCCGAGTACCGAGTACCGTTTACAGGAGGGACGTGGGAAGCGGCGGCCACCTGATGCTCTCCGGTGTCCCCAGTGTGCCTCCGGCAGACCTCACCAAGACCCTCACTAGGGAAAAGTTCTGCCCCCAGCCACACTCAACCCCTTTCCCCCTGGTCGATCCGGGAAGCGCCCTGCCTTTGGCTGCCCTGGCTGAAGAAGAGTGAAGTGGAAGCAGCAAGAGAAACCACACGCCCAGCGATTTTTTTTGTTTTGAGTCAGAGTCTCGCCCTGCCACCCAGGCTGGAGTGCGGTCGTGTGATCTCAGCTCACTGCACCTTCCACCTCCTGAGTTCAAGCGATTCTCCTGCCTCAGCCTCCCGAGTAGCTAGGATTACAGGTGCGTGCCACCACACCCAGCTAATTTTTCTATTTTTAGTAGAGACAGAGCGTCACCCATATTGGTGAGACTGGTCTCGAACTCCTGACCTCAGGCGATTCACCCACCTCGGCCTCCCAAAGTGCTGGGATTTCAGGCATGAGCCACCGTCTTGGAGGATGCCAAGAGTGACACCTCTTTGGCAGCTCATCCTGGCCAAAGGGAAGCTGGGGGTCCTGGTTTTTGTACAAGGGGCTCTGCTACTCTCTGCACATGATGGTCTAGTAAGCTCTTTGCCAACCCACCCAGCCTGGAGGTTCCCTGAGGACCACAACTGAAGCCTTGACTGGAGCCAGCATTTGGGAGCCAAGAGCAGATCTTGGCCCAAGAGGCCCAGGCAGAGGAGGCATCCTCACAGATTACAGTGCGGGAGAGGAAGTTTATTTACGGATGTGGGGAGAACATGGTAAGGGCCCTGGGCTGGCCAGCAAGGGGGCAATCAGTGGAGATTGAAAACAGATTCTCCAAGCCAGGCCCAGGGAAAAGGGCTCAGAAGCCAGCAGGAGCGGGCGGAGGGGCAGAGCTGACCTGAATCCAAGAGGAGAAAGCGTGGCCAAGAATTATCCAGGTAGAAGACACAGGAATCTGAAGGGGGTGTGTGTCTAACCCCAAGGGTGCCCCAAAGGCACAGTGGCAGTGAGGCTCGCTCTGGCCTAGGCCGTCACTGCTGAGGGACTGGGCACCTTTTCAGCTGTTCTCAGAGGCAGCCCGCCCAGGCCAGGCATGCTGGACCACAGGCTCCCGACCTTGACTGCCCTCTGCTTCTGGGCCTGGCCGTCTCCTCACTCAGGCTCCCTCAGCACAGCAACCAGCTCCTTCTGTTCTCTGTGTAGAGCCTGAAATCAATGGGAGACAACAGACAAACTGGAATATGAGAAAACCCAAATCCTTGCCCTCCACTGCCCCTGACTCCAGGCCTGGGGTTTCCCCCAGGACAATATGGATGGGGTCCATGGGCGGGTTAGGACGAAGGCACATTCGGAAGTCCCCACCATTCGGCAGGTATTTATGGCAAGCTCGGTTCTGTGACCACCTAGGCTGGGAACCCCCAGAGCAGAGCCCATCTTCAGCAAGGGTCCCCAAAGTGGCCTTTTGATCCTCTAACCTCAACAGAGCTTTCCAGCAGAGAAACTTTCTTGAAGTAAGTAAACTTTCAGTTCAGTTCCAGACATAGAAACTGTGAAAAAAACAGCTCTGTGAAGTGGCCACACAGGGCTCAGTACTGAACACTCAATCCACAGGCCCACGTCGGACAATGTGAGGGTCTGTGGCTGGAACTGGTGGGGCATGACTTTTTTTTGGGGGGGGATACAGAGTCTCGCTTTGTTGCCCAGGCTGGAGTGCAGTGGAACTGTCTGGGCTCACTGCAACCTCTGCCTCCCAAGCTCAAGCGATTCTCCTGCCTCAGCCTCCCAAGTAGCTGCGATTACAGGCACCTGCATCCACGCCTGGCTAAATTTTGTATTTTTAGTAGAGACAAGGTTTCACCATGTTGGTCAGGCTGGTCTCAAACTCCCAAGCTCAGGTGATCCGCCCGCCTCAGCCTCCCAAAGTGCTGGGATTACAGGCATGAGCCACCGTGCCCGGTTGGCATGGCTTTTAAGAGCAGAGGGCTTTGTTCCTCTTATGATAGCATTGAATCTCAGAGCTGGAGAGGCCCTGGGATCATTATCCGGCCAGTTTGGAAGCCAAGACCCAGAGACAGGAGTGACCCATGGCCTCGGGGTGACTGAGTGGGGACAGTGGAGCAGTGCCTTGCCCGAGGATCCAGCAGGGGGCTCTGCGAGTGCTCGAGGTACACAATTCGGAGCCATGGGGCCTGTCCTGCAAGATGGCACCAGGCTGGGGGGGCCACGGTCACTACCACTTTCATGCCTGCTGCCCAGTTCCCCCCGGCCAGTCTGTGACGTGGGGAGCGCGGAGGGAGTGGGGACAATAGGCAGTAGAGCGGCTGCTGGCCTTCCACTTGCCACCACCTCCTGGGCTGGGGCCCTTGAGCTGTGGCAGGGCCTTGAGGCTGCAGCTAACTGGGCTTGGGAAGAGAAGACCAGGGAGATCCAGGAGGCATAAATTTTGGGGACCTGTACCCCTCAGGAATACAGGGTTGCCCTAGGAAGGGGCTGTCAAGAGGCCGTAAGTAGATCTAAGTTGGAGACTGACATGATGGATGGAGAGAGTTCGACAGAGGTGCCGCCACTTGAGCCCTGCAAGAAAGCTTCTCTTGGAAATGCACTCTGAGCCAACGGGAAAATCTGTCTCATCGAGGTGCAGCCAAGCTGCCACCTGTGTCACCCAGCCTGATCATCATCTTCTCCTTCCTCACCCCATGTGGCCGCAAGTGACGTCAGGCCACTTTCAAAAGTTAAGTTCACCCTCAAAGGACACACAATTGTTGCATGGAGAATATGCGTTAGATGTGTGAAGGTTCTACAAGTCATTCTAATATACACATTATCTAAATTTTGGGCAATGGCAGACAGCCAAAATAATCCTTAACACAAAGAACAAAGCTGGAGGCATCACACTACCTGACTTCAAATCATACAAGGCTATAGTAACCAAAACAGCATGGTACTGGTATAAAAACAGACACATAACCAGTGGTGTAACAGAATACAGACTCAGAAGTAAATCCATATACTTATGGTCAACCGATTGTCACAAAGGCATCAAGAACATACAGTGGGTAATCCCAGCACTTTGGGAAGCTGCGGCAGGTGGATCACTTGAGGCCAAGAGTTCGAGACCAGCCTGGCCAACACGGTTAAACCCCGTCTCTACTCAAAATACAAAAATTAGCCAAGTGTGACAGCAGGTGCCTGTAATCCCAGCTACTTGGGAGGCTAAGGCAGAACAATCACTTGAACTCAGGAGGCGGAGGTTTCAGTGAGCCAAGATCACACCACTGCACTCCAACCTGGGTAACAAAGCAAGACTATCTCAAAAAAAAAAAAGTTAAAAGAGAACATTTGCCGGGTGCGGTGGCTCAAGCCTGTAATCCCAGCACTTTGGGAGGCCGAGGCGGGTGGATCACGAGGTCGAGAGTTCGAGACCATCCTGGTCGACATGGTGAAACCCCATCTCTACTAAAAATACAAAAAATCAGCTGGGCATGGTGGCGTGTGCCTGTAATCCCAGCTACTCGGGAGGCCGAGGCAGGAGAATTGCCTGAACCCAGGAGGCGGAGGTTGCGGTGAGCCGAGATCGCGCCATTGCACTCCAGCCTGGGTAACAAGAGCGAAACTCCGTCTCAAAAAAAAAAAAAAAAAAAAAAAAAGAGAATATTTTTGGGCCGGGTATGGTGGCTCACGTTTGTAATCCCAGCACTCTGGGAGGCCGCAGTGGGCAAATTGCTTGAGCCCAGGAGTTTGAGACCAGCCTGGCCAACATGGTGAAACGGCATCTCTACTAAAAATACAAAATTTAGCCGGGCGCGGTGGCTCAAGCCTGTAATCCCAGCACTTTGGGAGGCTGAGGCGGGTGGATCACAAGGTCGAGAGATCGAGACCATCCTGGTCAACATGGTGAAACCCCGTCTCTACTAAAAATACAAAAAATTAGCTGGGCATGGTGGCACGTGCCTGTAATCCCAGCTACTCAGGAGGCTGAGGCAGGAGAATTGCTTGAACCCAGGAGGCGGAGGTTGCAGTGAGCCGAGATCGCGCCATTGCACTCCAGCCTGGGTAACAAGAGTGACACTCCGTCTCAAAAAAAAAAAAAAAAAAAAAAAAAAAAAAAAAAAAAATTTAGCTGGGTGTGGCAGCTCTGGCCTGGAATCCCAGCTACTCAGGAGGCTGAAGAGGCATGAGAATGGCTTGAGCCTGGGAGGTGGAGGTTGCAGTGAGCTGAGACCATGCCACTGCACTCCAGCCTGGGCAACAGAGTAAGACTCTGTCTCAAAAAAAAAAGAAAAAAAAAATACAATGGAGAAAGGACACCTTCTTCAATAAACAGTGCTGGGAAAACTGGATACTCATGTGAAGACAAATGAAACTGGACCCCTATATTTCACATCATATACAAAAATCTACTCAAGACAGGTTAAAACTTAACGTAAGCCCCAAACTATAAAACTTCAAAAGAAAATATGGGAGAAACACTTTAGGACACTGGTCTAGGCAAAGGAGCTGTGGCTAAGACCTCAAACACACAAGCAACAAAACCAAAAATGGACAAATGGGACTACATTAAACTCAAAGGCTTCTGCACAGCAAAGGAAACAACAGGGTGAAGAGACAACCTGTTGAATGGGAGAAAATATCTACAAACTCTCAATCCAACAAAGAACTAATATCCAGAGTATATAAGGAATACAAACAAGAGTAAAAACAAATAATTCCTTTAACGAGTGAGCAAAGAACATGAGCAGACATTTCTCAAAAGATGATGTACAAAAATGGCCAATAGATTCATGAAAAAAATACTCACCATCACTAATTATCAAGGGAAATGCAAATCAAAACCACAATGAGGCTGGATGCTGTGGCTCATGCCTGTAATCCCAGCACTTTGGGAGGCTGAGGTGGGTGGATCACTTGAGGTCAGAAGTTCAAGACCAGCTTGGCCAACATGGTGAGTCCCCATCTCTACTACAACTACAAAAATTAGCTGGGCATGGTGGCGGGTGCCTGTAATCCCAGCTACTCGGGAGGCTGGGGTAGGAGAATTGCTTGAACCCGTGAGATGGGGGTTGCAGTGAGCCACAGCTGCACCACTGCACTCTAGCCAGGGAGAAAGAGCGAGACTCCATCTCAGAAAAACAAAAAACAAAATGCAATGAGATACAAAGCCCAGTTAGAATGGCTACTTTTTTCTTTTTTGGAGACAGTGTCTTGGTCTGTCGCCTAGGCTGGAGTGCAGTGGCACAATCATGC